GTTGTTGGTGTTTTTTTCTTTTCCTGCCTGGTTTTCCAGGGCCCAAGAAAGGTCTTGATACAAGCTTCGTGGGATCTCTAAGATAGTTTCCACAAACCACCTCCAAAGAAGAGCTTTGCACAATGATAGTTTCCACAAGCCGCCACCTCCAATCATAGTTTCCACAAACAACCACTTTACACTATGAGCTATAGGAATTTGCCTCTCTTCTTTCCCGGAGGCCCGTAGAACGTCGCCTGAAGCACGAAACGCCGCGGCCCCAGCTTTACGGCCACGCCAAGCAGCGCGTCTTCGTAGAGTCGTTGGCTAGGTCCCCCAGTAGTGCTTTTACCCTTTTTTGGGGGAGGGTTCCCCTGCTAGAACATGGTTGTTGGGAAACATTCTACATTTTTGCTTGTGGTTTAGTTGGAAATCCCCACTTAACTGCTAAAATTCCAGCTGTTGCTTCCCTTCCAACGTCAACCAACAAAATAGACTACAGAACAAAGTTGGTCCCTTATTCTAACCTCTCCACTGGAGGACCCAGTAGGGCTCGAATCAGACCACCTCTGGACAGTGCCAAAATGTCAATTTGCTGGGGCGCAAGTTGTAAATGGAGTTGCAAATGGCCCGGGCCCTTAAGACGCGACGGTGACTTCAGGCGGGCTGTTTATGATACTGCAGGCATGTTGACTAGGCAACCCGAGCCGCGAAGATCGGACGGAGCCGCGGAGATTGATCCAACCGGCAACTCAGCGGACCTGGCAACTCAGCGGAGTCCCTGGGTTCTACATCCATGAGTGACGTATCAAAATGGGGAGAAGACTCCCGGGTTCAACACGCCAACAAGGACCGAACCCCGGATGAATCTCCTGAACTGCAAATGGTGCATGGCTACTAGGTCCCCGAGTGGTGCCCTTTTACCCTTTTTTGGGGGAGGGTTCCCCTGCTAAAATAGACTGCAGAAAAAAAGGGTAGCCTTATTCTAACCTCTCTACTGGAGGACCTAGATGAATCTCTTGAACAGCAAATACTGGTGGTTGTAATAGCCCCCCAGCTTTTGAATGGTTGGAATCCCTGAAAGTTGGACGCGAGAATGGTCCGCCAGACACCTCCTGGTTCCCGAGAAATGTGCTGGCAACAGTAAGCTTTCCAGCGGAAAGTAAGTTCAACTTGTCCTCTCAACATTTGCCGGATCATTTCCTGAGTATCTCTCTCAGACACCCAGTGGTGCGCTTTTGTCCGTTGGAGGAGGCCCTTTTTTAAATCAACTGCCAAAAGCAAAAAACGTGCCCGCTTTTGGCCTTTGTACTGCGTGATAGACTGAGAGATATATGTCCTTTGGCCTGTTGCAGACTTTGTAAAGAATTGTCCGCATGATATCGTGTTTTGCATGAATCCAACATGTCAGCTGGTGGCACCGCATGGAGCAAAACTTTGTTTGAGTTTTATTGGACTTATTCATGGCGACGCGCACGTTTTGGGGCATGCTTTGGGATCCTGAAGGTGACTAGGTCCCCCAGTAGTACTCGTACCCTTTACCCTTTTTTGGGGGAGGGTTCCCCTACCCAAAAAATAGACTACAGAAGAAAGGGTACCCGTATTCTAACCTCTCTACTGGAGCACCTGGAGGACGATCCCCGGGGGTTTATGCAAACCTCAGTTGCCCAGATCCTTTGCTGACGAGTCGGTGCAAGCCAAGCGCAGCAGCTCGGAGCATTCTATAAGCTCGTTGGTGAGTTTGCCTTCGCCTCATGTGGGTGTGTTTGCTTTAGGGGTCCCCAAGAATTGGTTTGGTTCACTTTGGTTTCCCTTTGAACATAGGCTAGGTCCCCCAGTAGTGCCCTTTTACCCTTTTTTGGGGGAGGGTTCCCGTACTAAAATAGACTACAGAAAAACGGGTTCTCGAGGACCTAGTAGGGGTACCTAGCACCCACCGGAAAAAGGCGCAAAAGAAGCTAAAAGGAGAACCACCATTTTGGGGTCAGTTTGTCCCAAACCCGAAGTTTCTCAAACCCATTTTGCCCCCGAGCCTTTCAAAGTTGTGAGCTCCTTTTGGTAAACGAAACCGTCGCCATTTTAGGCTGAGAACCTCTACCTGACCAGAATCAAAACCCAGGTAAGCGAAGGTTAGCACAGTCCGAAGCAGAATTGCAGACCATGTTCGTGGCAGGTTTGGATTCGGGGTGGCTCAGTTTCCATTTGTTGGACCCGCAAAAGTGGCATTTACACTGGAACTGCCACGGGGGAAATTCAGTGACCCCGGGACCCCTGCCTCACTCACCTTGTGAAGGGGATTGAGGTTGTCATGTTGACACTGATTCCCCCAGTAGTGCCCTTTTACCCTTCTTCGGGGAGGGTTCCCCTACTAAAATAGACTACAGAAAGAAGGGCACCCTTATTCTAACCTCTCTACTGGAGGACCTAGGATAGGTCCGGGTAAGGAACGGTGGCCAAGCGGGATGTTGCTGCTGGTGCGACAAATCGTGATTGTGGGCAGAGCTTCTCCGAATTGACTGAAACCCGGCTGCCTTTTGATGAGCCCGTTTCCTGGGTTCCTGGACTTGAGTCACTTTTGGGGAAGGCCATTTGAGTGAACCAAGAGTGTGAACTTCTGTTTGAGTCAAACCAGTCGATCGAAATTGAGCTTTGACCCTGTTCGACGTCGGTCAGCGCTGAGTTCCAATCGATTAAGCCAGAACTAAGGGTTAATCAACCCAGAAACTAGGGGTTCATACCAATGTTCATATGTGGACATATGGTATGGGTCAAAATTAAACCACCAGGGTACCGCAGGTTAAATCGTCCATGTTTCCATTTGCCAGGATCCATTTTGGGTACCTGTTTTTGACCCACAGCCATATGCATTCAGCCTTTGAACCATGGCAGGGACCTCAGGTAAGGTCTAGGGTTGGGGCAGTGCAGAACTCCTAGGTCTTGCCCCCGAGCTCCAAATATCTTTGGTTTAGGTGTTTTTGTTCTTCTTCTTTGTTTATTGTTTTTGGGTGTTAAACAAACCAAAAAAACAAAACTGGAAACATCATGGCAAATGCGCCACCCTTTTCTAGTAGAGGGTTGACTTGACACCCCAAAAACAAAATCAACCGGGTATTTGGAGTGAGGCTCGGGTTTCAATGCTGCCAACTCTTCGGATCTTGGAGTGATCTGTCCACTGCCACTTGAAAGGCTCCCGTTCTTCTTTTCTATTGCCATATCAACATGGGGGGGATTGATGTAGACTGCCATTTGACAAGGGGGACCCCTGTAAAGCCAAGGCATTCGGGCTACATTCCCGTCAGCCCCCAAGGAGTCGTTTGTTCGCACTCGGCGCTTTGAATGATCCCAAGGGCCATCGAGACCCGTCGAACCTGTTAATTGGTACCCCAGCAATTGGTGCCGTGTCGACCTCTCACCCCTGTTTTGGGGAAGGATGGGAGGGCAAGCCCCTAAAATGGACGATTCAGAAAAGGGTATCCTTATTCTAACCTCTCAAATCTGGAGGACCTGGCTGTGGTTTCTCAATTTCACGCATTTTTTGCCTTTGGGTACTAAATAGCCATACCCCACATAAGTACTGCCTGCCAGTTCAAACTACTCACTTCGAATTAAGACACTTCTATGATAGAAGCAACGTTATACACACCCCACCCCAGCCAAAACTTTGCACTTTTCTCCCAACCCCAACCGGAGTTGCTTTCAAACTAGATAGACAACCCCCCTGTTAAATGACAGGGTACATCAATCCCCGCATTTTGATACGGCCCAAAAAAAAGAAGAAACGGGAACCCTTCAAGTGGCAGTGCTTTTTTTTTGTGTGTGTTTTCGATTTCTCTAGTTCGGATGACCCGAAAAAATCACCGCCCCAAGAACCGCCCCCCCCCCCCCCGCCTTTTGCTCGTGGGATGTCGGGTGGCACCGACGCCCGGACGTATCGAGGCCTTTTGCTGGAGGCGCTGGCGCGCTGGGAAGTTCTCGCGCCCGAGGGCCCCTGGCCTTTGCCTCGGTCCGAAGCCGAAGCCGAAGCCGAAGCCCCAAGCGAAGGGGACGATTCCTATACTTTTGGTCCCCCAGCAATTGGCGCCGTTTCGACCTCTCACCCCTTTTTTGGTTGGAAGGGAGGGTTCCCCTACTAAATAGACGACAGAAAAAAGTGGGTGCCCTTCTTCTACCCTCTCTACTGGAGGACCTAGCTATATTTCCCCTTTGTGGGGGTTGAAAACATCACCATTTTTTTTGGCCCATGATGTTGGTGAGTATCCCCTGGTAAGGGGAAGTATAGGGAACCCTGCCAAGCGAAGCGGGCGTTTTGTTTTTGTTTTTTGTTTTGCCCGGAGACGTGCTTAGGGAGGCAGTGCAAGGGGAAAAAGGCTCCCCCAGTCATGGTTGTTGTTGGGAACCATTTTACATTTTGGTTTATTATAGTTTAGTGGTTGAAATCCCCACTTTACAGCTAAAATTCGAATTTTTGCTCCCCTTCTAAAGTCCAGTTGGTCCTCAATGGAACCAAGTCTTTCATTTCGCGGTGCCTGAGGCTTCTCCTTCTGGCCAGTTGGATGGGGTAAGAACGGTCCAACCAAAGGGGTGGCATCCTTTTCATATCTTCTAATTGCTTTTGAGCATCCATTGTATATCTCAGTTGCCCAAAGCCGACCTTTTGACCTTTTGGTTTCTCCTTTTTGGTCTATAGTCATGGCCCCAAAAGGTGATCACCTTTTATTTCTGGGTCCCTAAGGGGCAAGTGAGATATTGGACTTCCTGTTCCCATTTCCTGTTTTCCTCCACTCAACTCATCCCTTTTGAGAGTTCCATTTATGTTTTGAAAGTCCATCTTGAGCTGTTTGCCGCGGAGCAGTCCGTCGTTTCCGGTCCGCGGTCCGCCGCGAGGCGACTCTGAACCTCAGAGGCAAATGCTTGCGCCTTGTGGGGGGAAAGTAGTTCCGGACTCGCGAGTCCAGGTACCCGGTACCCCCGAGTTGGTTTTGAACCCCTGGTTCTTGTAGAGGGTAAATGGGAAACCCCTCCTTAACCACCACAGGAAGCTGAAAGTATCTTGCAAGGATTCGCATCTATCGCCCAATGCAGTACGCGCTGCTAAGATACCTATGGAGCAAGAAAAAGGCTTCTGTCCAGGGAGGCAAGACCTGAGCCGTGGCCCTAAGGCTGCAGCTGCGGGTGCCTCGTCTGAATTGGTCCGAAAGATGACCAGATGATTCCGAGAAGGGTTCTCTCACACAAAAACGCACATATCATATCCACTGGATCCGTTTTGTGGAAACCGACGGTTTTTTGTGTGTCCTGCTCATGAACACTGAGTCCGGGTTCTGGCCGTTTGGCCGGGTGCTAATCGCTTTCTGTCGGAGCGATGGGAAGAAACAAAAAAACAAATGGCCCTGCGGCATAACCTATGCCGATCCCATTTTGAAGCGGATGAACACCCATGTACCACCTATTTTGATGTTCACCAGGGGTTTTGTGGGTTTTGACCCACAGCCAAATGGGTCCATTCAAAGTTTCCTGGAGATGGGAATGAACAACTCAAACAACTCATCCGTGTTTGGCGGCTAGCACCAGCATGCTTTCCATTGTTGATGGGTCCACTTCTTCCATTCTAGGTGCGTTGTACAAGGTGGTGCAGCTCAATTGATGCCATGAACATAGATAGAACCCAACTGATGACCCCTCCAATGCAGGCAGGCCCTCCGAAGAAGAACGCGGACCCTTCAGAAACCCTTCATAAACAGTACGGATTTTGTGGCTAGAACCCCTGGCGAGCGGTTGAACGCAAAGTCGCATCTAAGCGAAGAGCATTTGGCGAGGATTGCGGGCAGAGAATTCCAGTCACGGCCAATCCCAAACGGCAGGTGGATGTAGCCTGAGCCTTGACACAAGGGCTAGAGTCCCGTAGTATCACTGGGGTCTCCTTCAAAACGGTTTTCATTATCTTGGGTGGCCTGAAATATGAAACAGAGCACCCCGGATTACAGTTCGCGGAACGGCTATGATCATTTCCAGACTTTGCTTGCCTTGTTATATGAGTCTGTCTTTTTTGAGGGAACCCTTGTTGGCCTGGTTGAAAGGCCTATATTTCCAGGGGTTGATACCCAATTATTTTTAACCATCGTTCTTTTCAACAACCAGCCGTTTCCCTCGGTTTCTGAAGGTTCTCTAGAAAGAAGGATTCCTGGAAAGAATGGGGAAAGTACCCCTAGAATATTAATATTTTTCCCGTGTGGTTTTCTTTCATTCGCCCCTTCGACCAACGTTCGAAGATCTTTGAAGGTCGGAGACTGACTTGTCGCTTCTCCAAGACCTGTGCAGGTAGCTGGTGTAGCTCGGATCAGTCCCCTTGGAACAGGGTTGTGGGATCTCTCGGGGTTTCTCCAACCACTTCTGTGATACAAGTTGGAGTCCCCCTTATGAACAAAATAGTTGTTGGGAAGCCCTTTCTGTTGTATCGCAGAAGTGGTCACCCCACAGCCCTGTTTATAACCTAGCCCGCCTGAGCCGAGATTTGCCGCACCAAGCAGCTTGCCAAGTTGCAAGCAGACAAACATCAAGGGCCCAGTCAACACGGGGGGGCTGCAACTTTTGCAGACGCCGAAAATTTTGCAGATGTTGGTTGAGCATCCAATTCTTAATCAACTACCAGCAAAGGAGATCTTGCCCATTCAACTCCACTGGCAGGCTGGTTAAGGCGTAACACCAAAATGGAGCTCCTTGTTGCCGGTGGCCATTTCCTGGCACTCCCAGTTTCGTATTTTTGCCTTTGGATTCTACAATGGCAATGCTTCTTTGAGAGGACGCGCCCCCCAACCAAAACACGGTTTGGACAGTTGAATTCCTGTTACTGGAGGACCTAGTCACCGCCCGCGGTTCCACGCGAGGCCGCCCTCGCCGCGAACGCCGCGGCCTCCGCCGCGAACGCCTTCGCGGCCTTGGCGCAGTGCGGCGGCTGGGCGGCGCGGAGCGCCGCAGCCCAGGCTGCGCGAGCCTGGGCGCTGGAGACGGAGCGCTTGGGTGCCTCGGCCTTCCGCGCTCTCCGCGGCGGTTTCTTTTTTGTTTTTGTTTTGGTTTCCGTTTTTTTTCTTAATATATATATATATATATATATACACATATGTACGTCTTGTTTTCCCTGTTTTTTGTGCGGCTTTTTGTTTTAGCGGGGAGGAGAAACCTGATTTTTGTTTGCCGTTCCGCGAGCTTTCACCTAAGGTGATGGGATTTGCTCTCTAGGGCTCTAAAGGAGCCTACGACGGGAAAGTGCAAATAGCACGGCGTTTTTGTTTTTTTTGCGTTTGTTTCTCGCGGGGAGGAGAAACCCAGGCTTTTTTGCGGGGCCAGGACTGAAGATTTGTAGGTTTTCACGTGGGTGTTCCTGTAAAACCCTTATTCAAGGTTTGGTTTGCTGGTGGTATGCCCTATGAAGCCAACCAAAAAGAGGGTTCCCAAAAGAAAGACACAGCGAGATGCTTCGGGATGTTCGGGATTCCTAGCAACAAATTGTTTCAGGAGCCTGCGGCTTCCCATTGAGCCGTTTTTGGCATGCAGAGAATGAAGCACCGAAATGCATTTCGCTGCTTCCAATACTTCAAGTCCAGGAAAGGCACAAGTGGCTGCTCAAATATACGGGGGTGCTGTACCCCAGTGGGAAGAATAACTGCATCTGCGCTCTGGGGTTGTTAATCTTGAGCCACAGCCCCAAACTAGGGCATTGTCATCTGCAAAACAATACATACTGACGGGGATCGATCCATGCGAATTAAAGCTCCACATTTCATCGCGGCTGCTCACTTTACAGGAATACCACAAGGAAACCAAGCTTTGCTTAGTGGTTTTACAGGAACACCACGTGGAAACCAAGAAATGTTCAGTGGTTTTACAGGAGAGCCACAAGGAAGCCCTTGCTGTTTTGGCTAGGACCTCCTGTAGTGCTCTTTTACCCTTTGTGGGGGAGGGTTCCCCGTGTCTAAAATGGACTACCGAAAAAAGGGTAGCCTTATTCTAACCTCTCTACTGGAGGACCTAGTTGGGGCCGCCCACCTAGAAAAAGCACATTTGTTTCAGGTCTCGAAAGCCGGCACCGCGTGCCCTTGATCCCCACAGCCATTGACCCATGGAGTTCTCCTAGAAGCTCAAGCTGTCCACCCAATCCTGGTCAACCACCATGTTCCGCCTGTCGGCTTCTGCCTAAGGGATCCAACACACACACACACACCATCGAGTACTTCACTGTTCTCTGCATGTGTTCTCTTTTTGTCGCTTTCTTTGTTTACCTAGTTTTGGGGGTTCTGACCATTTTTAGGTTTTGGGGGCTGCAAACAACGAAAAGCCACGTCAGTTTTGTTTTTTGCCAGCTACCCTACCGCTTGAGAAAAAAAAAAAAAAACGGCTTCAGGTCATGACCCCTACCCAATGGAGAACCCAACTAGGTCCCCCGGCAATTGGCGCCCTTTTAGTCACCTTTTTTTTTTGGGGGGGGGAGGGCAAGCCCCGTGTCTGATATAGACTAGGGAAAAAGTTGGTGCCCTTATTGTAACCTCTCAAATCTAGAGCCCAAAGACCCCTCATGGCCCTCAAAGAAGAAAAAAACAACACATTTTGAGGCCACCAGATCCATCGAATCGGACCCTTAGGGCACAAGAGCCAGCCGAAAGTCAGGCCCTGGTCCTCCAATCCGCAGCATCCCCTCACAAATGGTTGGTGGACAGAGAAGGTCCTGAATTCAGCAGCGTAGAACAAGCACGCCGCTCGAAGCGAAACTTCTGTTTGAATCCGCACCGAGCCGCAAAATGAGTGTTTTTTTGGGTTGGCTTTCACTAGTGAAGCAACCAAACAAGGAGCCCTTTGTGATACCCTCGCCGGAAACTGCGACCGCCGCGGGACCCGCAGCCGCTGATTTTTTTTTCTGGGGGGCCTACGGATATGGCGGATGTCCTGCGAGATGTCTTCCACGCCTTTGCAGGCCGATCCGATAAATCCGCCGATTCGCGAGCCGGTAGAGTCACAGGACAACTCGGGGCAAATATATTTCGCTTTGACCACCTTAAGACTCTGACTCGCTGAACATGGTTTTGCTTGTCGCAGGTTTTGTCCCCGGCTTAGTTGGCCAATGGACTCATAGGCATGTACACATGTGTATATTTATACGTAGCACGTGCAACTAAATGTGTGTGTGTACATGTATGTATATACAATATATACCTATATGTATACACATATTGCATATACGTATATGCAACCATATAACTATATTATGTATATATATATATATATATATCTATCTATCTACATATGGTCACCCCCCGCCCATGATCTACATGTCTATCCTGTCCTAACAAACACTTTGTTTTTACCTAGCTGTTTTTTTTACTGTTGTTTAGTTAATGTATATAGTATATATATATACATGTGCATATACGCCATTTCGCCGGGTAGAACTTGACCACCGGATGTCCTGTCCTAACGCGTCGCTTGAGCCCTGGCGCCAGGCGGCTCCGAGATGGAGGGCCGAGCTTTCGTCAAGTGTCTCAAGGAGCGGAGGTGTGGAAGAGCTGAAATCAAGACCATTCTACAGGTTTTCCCATTTTCATGGTTGTTGGGAAACATTTCACATTTTTGCTTATTGTGGTTTAGTGGGAAATCCCCACTTAACTGCTTTTTTTTAATGCTCCCCTTCCAACGTCAACCAAGTCTTGGGATCCCATATTTAGTCATGGCCCCAAAAGGTGATCACCTTTTAGTTCCAGGTCCTTTGGAGTAACTGAGTTGTTTCTACAGGGCTCCTTAAAAGATGGCCATTTTGCAACCATTTGAAACATGTGGCTTCTTCAACACCAAAATCAAGGGTCTTCCCACCATTTACAAGGCAATGTTAAGGTGTACAATGTAAGGATCCCTGTTCTAGGGAAGCGTCCATGTCCATTCTTTCCAGGGCCCCGGGAAAACAGAATGTGGAATCAACCCCTAGAACCATGGTATTTGGATCTGAACCCTTCTGAAGCCAAATGGGGAAGGATGGGGATTGTATCCCGTTAACATCCAAACCACCAAACCACCAAGGGGTAATGTTGACCCCATATTTTCATCAACCCCAGCTAATTAATATGAGGGTGGGGCGCCATGGGGTCTGCGTAATTTTATTAGCCACCACGGAGAGTTTTTGTAGGGCGCCTGAAATGTTGGTGGGCTCGCGTCCCAAATCTCTCCAGTTCCTTGCTCAAGACCAACTTGAGAAAACGGTTGGACACGTGGAGAATCTGTGGATCCAGCCCTGTAGGATATGAAAAGAGTACTAACGTACGTTTTGACGTTGGCAACGCGCGTTGCCAAAACCGCGCGTTTCAGAACTCCCGTTTTGCACTTTTTGGGGAACACGGCAGTCTGGCCATTGCTGGGCGACTTAGATGCTTTTTTGCCCTCGGATAAAAGCATATGTGGCCCTACTGGCCAACTTTCTAAAGGCTCTACGGGGCAGTCGTTTGCACGTCCGGCGAATTAGATTCTTTTCTTGCCCTGCAGTAAAAGCAAATGTCTGCTGGACAGCCTAGGAAAACGCGATGCCTTTTTGTGGCCCCACAGCAAAAGCATATGTCTGGACTATGTCTGGACAACTTGCGAAGCTCTACAAGGGAACACGGCAGTCTTTCACGTATCGGCGACTTAGACGCCTTTTTTGCCTTGGAGGCCCCCGAGTTGCTTGCTTGCCCTCAGGCTCTCCAGATGCTAAATTTTGGTTTGAGTGTTTTTTCCCAGCGCCGAAAAATGCATGTGTAGGCTTTGTGGTCGCCTGGATGCTAAATGTTGGTTTTTTCCCAGCCCCACAAAACGCATTTGTATGCTTCGCGGTCGCTCAGAGGCCCCCGAGGTGTTTGCCTGCCCTCAGGCCCTCCAGATGCTAAATGTTGGTTTGAGTGCTTTTTCCTAGCGCCGAAAAATGCATGTGTAGGCTTCGTGGTCGCTGAGATGTTAAATGTTGGTTTGAGGGCTTTTTCCCAGCCCCGAAAAACTAATTTGTATGCTTCGCAATTGCTCAGAGGGTGCCGAGCTGTTTGCTTGCCCTCAATCGCTCCAGATGCTACATGTTGGTTTGAGTGCTTTTTCCCAGCCCCGAAAAACGCATGTGTAGGCTTCGTGGTTGCCCAGATGCTACATGTTGATTTGAGGGCTTTTTCCCAGCCCCGCAAAAACGCATCTGTATGCTTCGCAGGCGCTCAGAGGCCCCCGAGGTGTTTGGCCCTCCAGATGCTAAATGTTGATTTGAGTGTTTTTTTCCCAGCCCCGAAAAACGCATGTGTAGGCTTCGTGATGCTAAATGTTGGTTTTTTCCTAGCCCCGAACAACGCATTCAGAGGCTGCCGAGTTGTTTGCTGCCCTCAAACGCTCCAGATGCTAAATTTTGGTTTGAGTGTTTTTTCCCAGCGCTGAAAAACGCATGTGGTCGTCTAGATGCTAAAAATTGGTTTGAGGGCTTTTTCCCAGCCCCGAAAAAGCATTCGAGTCCTTTGGTGTGGCTGCAAGATTTGCCTGGCCCTGTGCGTGTGTAAGATGGGGTTTCCAGAGCTTGCAAAAAGCACTCGCGCCTTGCGCCTGCTGACCGCGTAGTCACCGCGGACCGCTTTCGTTCCCAAACTTAGCCGAACCCTGCACTCGGTCATTGCGCCTGCTGACCACGTTGTCACGGTGAACCTGCTCACGGTTCAAAAGCGCTCAGGCCTTGTGTCTGCCGACCACGTAGTGACGGTGAAGCCGCTTACGTTTCGAAACTTAGCTGGCCCCCCGCGCAGGTGTTGTGTGTGTAAGATGGGGCTGCGTGCCTTTTTCTGGAGCCTGCAAAAAGCATTAGGGCCTCGCGCCTGCGTGTTCAGCGACCACACAGCCACGTTCCAGAACGCGCGTTTTGGCACACGTTCCAGAGCGCAGGTTGTGCGTGGTGCGTTTTGGGGCTGCTACTCAATGATCCCCAAACACGGACCAACAGCGGGTGAAGTCCACACAAAGCGCATCCAAACTGGTTT